TTTGAATGCTAGCGATAAGTCCGCGATTTTAAAAAGATTTCGGCTAAACATTGTAAGTCAAATGTGAAAATCATTCTTTTTTTATTTTTTTTTCATTGTAAATAACAGATTTTTAATTTAATTTAATTTTTTATTTTCATTGAAAACATTACAACGCGAATAATTGTAAATAAACTTATATCCGGCTGACAGTTGCACAGTGGTTTCAAAACTACTCATAAAACATACAGTTTGAAAGTTAAAATACCTCTTTGCATTGAAGGAAGAAAAACAGCTTTTATTAATTACAAAAATATGAAAACAAAATGTGTAGAATATATCGTAAATAATATAAGAATATAAAGTAAATCTATAAATTGTTAAAAGGGTAAGTTAATTAGCGACAGCTATTAAGTTATACAGCTTTAATCTATTATATGTGTATAAGGCGTTGAATACCTGCTATAGTTTTTTTATACCCCAAGGTATATTAAGTTTGTCACAAAGTTTGTAATACCCAGAAGGAAGCGTCGGAGACCATATATTATATATGCAAATATATGTCTGTAAGGGATCAGCGTGACAAGCTGAGTCGATTTAGCCATGTCCGTCTGTCTGTCTGTCCGCCACTCGGTCTGTATACACGCGAACTAGGCTCTCAGTTTTTGAGCTATCGATCTGAAACTGATCTTGTACACGTTCTCTTCTTCCCTAGCTGTTCATTTGTTGGTACCATCGATATTGGGCTATAGCATATTACTGCTATACAAACTGATCAATCAAAATTCAGTCTTTGTATGGAAAACTTTTGTACTTGACGAAATATCTGCACGAAGTTTGGCATGGATTATTGCTAAAGATAGCAGAGCAATATTCGAAGAAAATACTCAGATCGGACTACTATAGCATATAGCTGTCATACAAACTGAACTATGTCTTCATAGGTATAACTGCTCAATAAACCGACATATCTTTTTATACCTTTTTATGTTATAAGAAATGTAACTGTGAAGGGTATTACAGCTTCGGTGCAGCTGGATTTATCGTTTTTTCTTGTTCTGAAATTAAATCTGTATGTACAAGTATACTCACAATAGCAGTTACAACTGATATGTCGTTGTGTAAATCACACACTGCAATATGAGAACAAAAACCAATACTTATTAAATTTAAGCTGAGCTTGTTCCAGCTTAATGATTTGCAGCGCATTAAAAACTTGAATGGGAATGCGCTTAATAGACATATTACATACAAGCAAACATTAAATATTATATTTGAAAATGATAAATACTTTTTTATTTGTATTCATAAGTGCTGTAAGTATTTATGAATAAGCAATACATTGTATGATAAAATTTAAATTATTATTCATTTTATATTTTATTAATGTATGTATAAGTGGCTTTCATACCATTAAAAACAGAAGGTACTATTTTCTGCTTTTTAACATTTTTTCCATAAGTTCAGCTCAAAAACTCTAATTACGTAATATTATATTATATAAACAAAAACAAAATATGAATGTGCACTTGTATTCAGCGTATTAAAAGTACAAATCTGTCAAAACAGATAAGATAAAGAAAACGAGCACATACATACGCAAAAATAAGCTAATAAAAAAAAAATAACGGAATGGATTGCAGCTATTTGACAATAAATAATGTACAGCAAATTAATTTGATATTGCCTTTTCATTATTTTTTTCTATAAATTTTCCATTTGCATAACCCAGCCTATATACTACATTTTTCGCAGTTCAAGCGCTTATCTACCACTCCAGTAGCAAACTCGTCCATTTTCGAAAGCCAAATTTATGCGTGGATATGGCAAGATTTTTCCAATCTTTAATTGCTCGATGTTCGGTTCCTCTTCAAAATACATACACTGCTTAACGAACTTCAAGAAAGTCGCATTCATCTGCTCCGCTCTACCCGGCAAAGCCTGCAGATTATCATCTCGATGCAGTTTATGTACAATTTGCTCGCATATACGTGTGTTGCAATCGACATCGAAGAGTGGCACACCAAAATTCACATCCAATATAGTCCAATTCTCTGAGGTTGTATCTTCGCTAGAATTATCAACACTTTCCAATAGCGCATTTTTATTGCTATTTACTGCCGTGGCGATTATAGGTATTTCAACGGAACTTTGAGATACCAATTCGTTTTTGATATGCGTTGCCGCTGAATCAGCATCACATTTGGCCAATTCGGATGCCAATAATTCGTTGCAGTCGACTGAAGTGTACACATTGGATGGTGAACCGTTTTGTGGACTAATCGCAAAATAATTTTCATCCGGACTCTTGAGTTGGCTGCCGCTGAGCGGTGAAGCACTCAGACGCGCAAAACTAGTCACTTCAGAGCCATCTGCAGGTGACAATAGCTCTTGTGGCTGTGGTACTGTTGATACGGTTATTGGCGCCGTTGTACCAGCAACGACATTGGACGCTGTTGCAACACTCTTTGGCGCATTCACTGGCTTAATTTTGATTTTGGGGTGTCTCAGATGTACTTGCAAATCAAATGATTCGCAGCCAATATCTGGCACGCCGGTATTAAGGAATGTTATAAAACCACAATTGTGTTCAAGATCTAAATATTTCGTTAGTTGTTGTACAGCTTTATGATTGATCCATTCTAATTGGCGTGGATCTTCGGCATTGAAGGGGAAGGCTTCGTAGCGCAATTCACCAGGTTGTCGTATACCATAACCCTGCACGAGAATGCAGCCATTTCTCAACTGATCGTTTAGATTGCGGAAATTTTCAGAGTTCAAAACATATGAATCGGAATGTAGTATATTAACAAGCAACTTTCCGTAGCCAAGAAATATACGTGGAAGTGTTTTAAGTACAGTGCCGCGACAAAGGAAAAGGCTTGGAGGTCCATATCCTAAAGGTAAAGGTAGTAAAATAATAATTGTAATAAATTATTTTATTTATATTCTATGTACCTGTTATATGATTATAAAATAGTTTCGTCCACATATGAGAGCTATCTGAACCGCGGTAATATTGGCCAAAAAATGGAATGCTGAAGATATGTGAGAGTGTAGCAGTTAACGGCGTGGCAGATATAACAAATTTATATTTCTTTTCGAGTACACGATCGCGTGTTTTCTGATCCAAGCACTCCAAACATTCCAGACGTAACAAATCTAGACCACCTGGCACCAGATGGCGCAACGAACATATTGTCGATCTCAAAATTACTGCATGCGCAAAATACCTAGAAACATCACCTTCACCCTCGGCATCTAAGAGCGAAACTTTTTCTAACTCTGCTAAAAATGAGTCAATACTTTCCTCACATAGTTTGCCCACCTCAAACATAGTGACAGCATGATTTTTTAAACCCGGCGATAGATTGCCCATCATTAAAAATGCCGTTAGAGTGGAATCAAAGAGAAATCCAACTCTTTTGCCCGTCTTCTCTGATATACTTGGTAATTTGCCTTCACCTTTAGGTGTTGTTGGCAGTTCTTTAATACTTAATTTTGTTGTACTCTCACTTAAATCATCCAATTCAGAACTGAGTTCTTGCTCCTCTGAATGGTTGTGTACGTCACCAACAGTTTGCACTGCTTGCGGGGATGGTGAAGGCATATTAGCAAAACTGAAGTCACTTGTATTACCATCAGATGAAAGATAACCAATGGAGCTGTTGTCCTTATCTTGTGGCTTTGTTAAAACTGGGCTATATTCTGCAGCTTCAGCGCGCTCTGCTGCTGCCTCCGATGTAATGAAGTTGTTATAATTGAGCGGCGTTATTTGAGGTGGTTCACGCGTTGTATGTTGTTCCAATTGGTATTGTTCCCAACTGGCATGATACTTTATATCAATACTGGGACTATCACTGACCGGTTCTTTGCGACGTGAGAAACCCAAACGGCAGAGTAGAGACACGGCTTGCTTAACTAAATCCAAATCGACTTGTAACATTTGTGCCAATTCCGAAATAGTCATATATTCATCAGCGCTAACGAAAATTTTATAGAGTAAATTCTCAAAGTGATCGCCACTAGTACGATTCATTACGAAATTTCGTAGCGGTGGTATGCTGATACGATCTTCTCCTGATATGGGTATGTCTAAATAGATGAGACCTTTTCGATATAAACTGTGCACAACGACGTAGTCGCATTTTCCTGCGGTTTGTGAGCCAAAATCGATGAGATCATCAATAAGACTACGTTCTGCTGTAGTTACAAATCTTATATCCGCCTCCAAGACATAGCCTACCTCGATGCGCCACCATGGTTCAATACATATACGTACTGGAAATCGAGGCAAAAAATCCAATGGATTCGGCTTGGCACTAAAGAGAAGCGCACGTGTTGTATGTGTTTTCAAATCGCTTATCAGTGATAAATACTCATTGCGTCCAATGCCCAAAATACGCAGGCAATCTGCAGCTGTGAAATTTGGTAGCGTATCATATGACTTATCATTGCGTAGCAATTGACTCACTAAATCAAGATAATAGTTAAATGGCGTAACGCGCAGTCCTTTCGTTATAATGTCAGCTAAATGATATGGAAAAAGTAACAGGCCATTGATGCTCTTCTGCACCAATAATTCGTAGTAACGTTGCTCATGTCGAAAAACTTTCAAAACGAGATTACCACGAAAACGCAGCTGATTCTTGAGACTATAATTGAAAACGTACTTTTCATAGTCGAGTTGATTGTTATGGAGAACTTGTTTCAAATGAATCGGTACGGATGCCCATGGAATGTTTTGACGTACGCAATTACCGATATCTTCAGAGACCTTCTCCGACATCATTTCTCACCTAGCTTTATTGTTTTTTTTTTATCTTTAAAAGTTGAGCAGCTACGCGGCTCTAAATTATTTACATTTTATGTATCACAAAACAAAATATTTTTGGCACAAAAAGGAAACGAGTAATTTTGCTTTTATTTACTTTTTAGAATGTGGCAAAAAACGAATAAGAAGATTGAAAGGTGTAAATTTTTCGTCTGCACAGCTGACGTTTATCAATACCTTTGTTTGTGTTCGTTTTCGGTGTTTTTTCATATTTTGACAAATAAAATAACAGTATGGGTAGTATTAAAAAGTACAATATTGCAAGGTTGATAAAGTAGAGTAGTACCTAAAATGATAACACATTGCTGTTGTTTAGTTTTGAATTATAAAAATTATATGCATGGTATTATTTCTGAAACTTTTACATAAATGTGTTACAAATTACAAAAATATTAGTTAGAAAAAACAGAGAACGTTCTCAGTTAAAAATTTGATTGTTTACCTTGATTCCGAGACTTCGCATGCAACCCTGTTTGAATGAGTTTTAGAATTTTTTTGGCAGTTGTGTTAGCAACAAGGAGACTATTTCTTAAACATTTTTCTTCCACAGCTTTCTTTACAACATTTGCATTAAAAGAAAGTTTAAATCATTATAAATAAACTAAAGCATATACAATTTATTTATTAACAAAAATAATATTCAATATATTGTGAACAAGAATTCCGCAAACTAATAAATTTGTGAAAAATTTTGCGAAAATTGGCGAAGACGACAGGAACAATCGATTTTTTTTTGTGTTGACAGTTCCTTTTAGTAGGAACAGTGTAGCAGGTAACAGCCTGTGAGCATTCAGGCAAAATAATAATTCACCGAATGTCCTTTTAACCAAAGCTCCATTTCAAAGCAAAGTTAAGTAGTTCGGCTAAAAAGCCTGAATACCGCATCGTACCTTTTCTTTGTTTAACTACAGGATAATATTCAATATTATTAAACTGAAATAAGAAAGAAAATATTTTTGGAGCGAAACACTGGGTGTATAACGCCACTTGATGAACGCTGAGAAAGAGAAGCAACAAGCCATTGGCGACGATACTTCAAGGTATACGAACACAATGTTATAAACATTTTTGTTAGAATGTGTGAATAACGCTTTTTAAACAATTTAGCATCCATGAAGATTCACCAACTGCAAGCCATATCGTCTCTAATAGTTCAACAAGCAACAATCAACAAGAACACGAGCAACAACAACCGCAACAAACGATACAACACACCCGCACCACCAATCCAGATATGAAAAGATCTGCTGTCAAAGAACTTATTGAGCGCTATTTTTATCAGCTTCAGCGTGGATGTGGGAATCCAAAATGTTCAAATCAAAACTGTGCTTCTAGTGGTCAGGTTGCGCCAATGAATCCAAACGAAATTGCAGCACGCGCCATTCAACTTTTTTCACAGGACGCAAAACTATGCGATTTCTACAGTCAACCACCGAAGGTGCCGCGCACACAAAATGACTCACCGTCGAGGTAATTGAACGCGCAGATATCCTTTTCTGTTTTATTATCGCTTAAACACATTTTTCTTTGCATTCTTTGTTTTAGTTCACATTCGGCAAGCTCTGCGGCTACAACACCCAGCATTCAAGACTCAGAAATGCTTTCGCCTAACGATAGCAGCACCAGCAGCACAAGTAGCACTACAAGCACAAGTAGTAGCAGCGGTAATAGCACCATTACCTCTGGCAGTGCCAGTGTGCGCAGTCATACCAGCCAACAAAGCAATATGAGTAATATCGCTAAGGCTGTTCGTAATAGTGCTGGTGGCGATGGCGGTGGAGGAGGGGATGCAGATGTGGCCGGTGCTTCTTCATCTGCACCTGCCTTTACTTCACAGAGTCGCGGTAATTCTAATAGAATTACTGAAAACAATTCAACTGCGGCTGACGACGAAATGTGTCAACTGGAAATTCTTTGTAATGCAGCTGAAGCTGCTGAAATGGCGATCGATGATAACGATATTTTAAAAACACAAACTTCGAATGCATCCACAGAGGGAGATATGGATGTCAGTGCGCCAGCGGCGCGTACAATTTCTGGACCACCTACACCAACATTCGCACCTGTGCCATACCTTAACGAGGCACTGATCGATGAATTATTGGATGAAGGCAAAAAGTTTAATACATACGATAGACTTTTACATGCCATAAACGAAGTTTACCCACACATTGATCGGCTTAGTAAGAGTTTTCGTAGGCCAACTCTTACTGTTATGCCCACTCAGTTAACATCTAGTGCGACAGCTACAAAACTGCAAGAATTACTGGGTAAATCACCGACTGATCTAAAGAAAGAGGACTTACGTACACTTGAGGGTGAAACTGATAAAGATGAGGATAGTACATGTGTTTCGGCCGAAGATGATCCCGCGAACAGTGAACAACAAGTACCACAAGTGTCTATCGATTGCGATGATGTGCCAATGGATGAAGATGGCGCTTCTGATGGGTTTTCAACAGCAGCAGCTGCAGCAAACACAGCTGGTGACAACGAGATAGATGTACAGTCAAATAGCAATGAAACATTGGTAGACTTGGAGAGTTTGCGACGTGTAAAAAAGAAATTGTTTGCTTTGAATAATACGAGCATTGGTGAGGCGTTAAATAGCAACATAATACTGCTGGCAGAAAGTATACGCTATGGACGTGAAACTGACTGGGAGAAAGTGCTACATTGTCTGGTTATTTGCTTTGATATGGCGACAAATAGTAAGTGTTTCTTTCTTATTGCTTTAAAGTAGTGTTTTGTTAGAAATTTCCCTCTCACCAGTATATTGTGCTTAATTTTTATTTGCCCGCTAAATTTTCAATGCTTTTATACTGCAGCTTCTAATAGTTTCGCTGATTTGGAATATTTGGAACGTTCGTTGCCCAAGCTTTGTCATGCTACACGTATATTACCAGTTGCCGCTCAGGCGCGTTTGGGTCGCATATGGGCGGCGCATTGTAAAGATCAAATGCAATCGCTGGTACAGTGTTGTCAACAATTGATTACCTTACAGGTAATACTTGATGAAGATACAGTACAGGAAAATACTGATGTGATTGCGGTAACGCGTGTACTCAAGGTAGAATATAATTAAAAATAAGTTTTTTCTACAAAATAAATTAATTTCTGTAAAACGCAGATTGCTTTCTACGCCAATATCTTAGCCGGCGAGCTGGATACCAGCTCAATTAATGCTCATAGTCAATCGGCTAGCAGCGCCGATGTCGACACATCTTCTAATGCGGATACTACCAACGATGATGATGATATCTTCTTCTATACTCAAGTACCTAAACCGCATTATCCGAAGTTTGCGGAAGACGAGCTAGAGAAAGAGTTGGGTATATCGAGTATGGACTGTCGAGTGCCGTTGGTGCCATTTGAAGAGTTCTACAATGAACCGCTAAGCGATGCCATACAAATGGATCGCGATTATTTATCATATAGAAATATGATTTTATCACTAAATCCCAGTGGCGACGGTATAGCAATTTTTCTTGTTTAGTTTTCATATGAAAAATTTATTATATATACTTTCTATTACAGATTTACACTTTTCCTTTATGTTGTATTCGTTTATCTTAACACCCGCGACAAAAGTTATTGCGCTTTACTACGATAGCCGCATACGCATGTATAGTGAGCGCAATTCATCGCTATATTCCTTATTGAACTCATTTTCTGATGGCAATGAGGTTGGCGCACGACCTGACTTGAAACTGAAAGTACGACGTGATAATATTATAGACGATGCACTCATTGGGGTAAATGAACGTGAATTTTTATCAAAAAATGTAAGAGCAAATTTAAAATAATCCTCACGTTTAGCTTGAGCTTGTGGCTATGAGCAATCCGAAAGACTTAAAGAAGCAGCTAGTAGTTGAGTTCGTTGGTGAACAGGGCATCGATGAAGGTGGTGTTTCCAAAGAATTTTTCCAGTTGATTATTGAAGAGATTTTCAATCCCGACTATGGCATGTTTGTGCATCAGGAGGATACCAACACTGTGTGGTAAGAACATAACTTTTATAATATATGTATAAATAATTGATAACGATTAAACAATTATAATAATATAATGAATGAAAATGTTTACAAAAATTATAATTATTCTGTTTCAGGTTTAATTCAGCACCATTTGAGAATGAAGCTCAGTTTACGCTGATTGGCATTATATTAGGTTTAGCAATTTACAATAACATCATACTGGCTGTGAATTTTCCCATGGTCGTCTATCGTAAATTAATGGGCGGCGTTGGTACATTTTACGATTTGAAATATTGGAATCCAACATTGTATAGAAGTCTGAAATCGTTACTCGACTATCAGGAGGCCGATATGGAAGAAGTTTTTATGCAAACATTTAAAATTAGCTATAACGATGTGTTTGGTGAAGTTGTCGATCATGAGTTGAAACCCGGCGGTGGTGACATAGTAGTTGGTCAACAGAATAAGCTAGAGTTCGTCGATATGTATAGTGATTATTTGCTCAACAAGAGCATTGAACGACAATTTAGGGCTTTCAAGAAAGGTTTCGAAATGGTAACAGATGAGTCGCCATTAAAATTACTGTTTCGGCCAGAAGAAATTGAGTTACTCGTATGCGGTAGTAGGGTAAGTAAAATGTTTAGTTGTTGTTGTATGACTCAATAGTAATGATTTTTCCAATTAATGCAGAAATTCGACTTTGTTGAACTGGAAAAATCCACTGAATACGAGGGTGGTTACACAAAGGACTCGCAAGTAATCAAAGACTTTTGGAGTGTTGTACATTCTATGCCCGAGGAGTCTAAGCGCAAATTACTCGAATTCACAACTGGCTCGGATCGTGTGCCTGTCGGCGGTCTAAGTCGCCTGAAACTACTAATAACACGTCACGGTCCCGACAGCGATCGCCTGCCCACCTCGCATACATGCTTTAATGTGTTATTGCTGCCAGAATACAGCGCTCGTGAGAAGTTGGAGGAACGTCTACTAAAGGCGATAAACTATTCAAAAGGTTTTGGCATGTTATAAATTGCTGCTTTCAAATAACTATATTCCTATATACGTGAGTACTGAACGACACCAAATGGAGATGCTACAGCAAAACGAAAGCGGGAATATACGTGTAATGAGAAATACAAGCGCAACGAATGTTGTTTTAACTAGTTCTCTTTTATCATTCTCGTTTCTTATTTTTTGTTTATTTCTTTTTGAAGGATATGTTTTACAAATAATTGATTTTTTGGTCTCTACGACAGCTACTGAAGACTTGTCTTTATTTCAAGTATATATATTTTTGGTTCGTTTACAACAAACCTACATATGAATACATATATACATACATGCATACATATAAATGTAAAAGACATTTCTTTAAACGAAGCGAGCAGTGAATTAATAATTTACAAAATCTTGAAGCTTCCTTACATATGTGCGCTGGTAGAAAAAAGCGCTAATAATTTAATTTTTACTCTTTCAAAAGCATATATATATTTTACTTGCAAGTTAAATAATATATAAACTTAAAGAATTCAATTTATTTTTGCATAATTTTCTCAATGTAACATTGAGTACATCTAATAAGAAACATAAATAATTTTATATACATAATAATAATTTTAATAAAAACAACACGAGTGCCACCCAAAACAGTTCACTCACCACGATATAATTCGTAACAACAAGAACAACATACATACATTTATTTTCGTTTGTATATGTATATATAAAAGAAAGTTTATTTTTAAATCGACAGCTTTTGAATTTTATTTAAAATTTCTTTTCTAGAAAACTGAAAAATTGATATGCAAATATAAATAAATGCTAATATATGCGTATACAACAGCAAATGTGTACTTATTATTTGCTAAAAACTAGCAGTTGTTTAAACGACAACAAAACTTTTTAGTGATATACAGTTTAACTGTAATTTCAAAAATTAAAAACAAAAAAAAAAAATTATGGCGAGCAAACTTTCGCATGTTGTACTTTTCCATTAACAATCATCCGGCATCACTACTTTTACAGCTGATATCGCAGCTGTGTTGTATACCTCTCAAATTTTCCCTGCAATAAAACCAATTAAAATACTTGTTTATTCTTATCGTTTGGAGCTGTTTATGTTGGAGCATTTTTTAGCAGAGCGCTCCCCATTTGGTTTTTACGCTCATTTGTCTATTTGATTTCGTTAAAATTTGTTGTCGCTGTTTGTGATTGTGTGGTCAACTTGTGTCTCTGATCGTCTTAAAGGGAGCTTGTTGCTTCTTGGCTATCAGATGTAAAGACGTGCTCGAGAGTGTTGGTCGTGCAGTAATCGTATATGCCATCTCTGCTCCATAATACATTAAATTCATTTAATTGTGCACTGTAAATATAGTTCACCCGAATGTGTTTCAAAGTGTGAAAATAAATTTGGAAAAATAGTGATACATTTTATATACATATAAACATGCAGTTATTGAAACAAGCAGTGTTTAACCATACGCTACTCTTGTTGCTTTGCCTCTGGTCCTGTTGCACTTGGGCGTCAATAAATGCAGCGACAACGGATGCGACTAGCGAGGCGGCAGCCGAGGAAGGAGGTGAGTAACATATGTACATATATTTTATTGTATGTGATCTTTTATTTCAATATATTACATATGTATATATGGCATATACATGGACATATGTATGTATATGGGAAGCGTATATTAATTGCACATATTTTTGTATGAGATCACTTTGCCATTTCTGTTCTAATTCCTTTGCTCATTACCTCGAATTCATTGCATTGACTTTGCATTCTCTGCTCCAGCACAATCATGCTCTAACTGCTTGTGTACTACTGCAGTCGCTGAAAAATCATGCATCCTATTCATAAATGTAACATAAAATACTTTTATACAGCGTTTTTTATGTAGTGGACATAAGCTTTGCTGGTGCCTTATTTATCAGTTTATTGTTGTTGTTGTTATGTACTACATATTAGCTTTTTGTTTATCTCGCTAAGTGGAACGCTTTTTGCACTACATACATGCTTATGTACATAGGAAGATATGAACATATTTGCGGTTAGTTGATCTCTTTCTTGGATACTTTCTCAATTAAATTGCTTTTATATACATACATACATACATGTAAGCATTTATGCCGGTAAATAGTTAGAAAATAAACAATAAGCATTATGCGCATATATACAGAGTAAAAAAGGTTGTACAAAAATGATGTATGCAGTTTAAATAGACTTGTCCGGGTTAATTTTGATCTGTTTTTTGGTACAATTTCTGAATTCTTTAAATCAATTACTTTAATAGCCACACTTACAATATCAGGAGAATAGAACTAGTCGCCTCACATTAGGAATGTTATCTGCCGCTACAACAACAAAAACAACAAAATTTTAATAAATTGATTTAGTGATTGCTTTTTTGAGAACAAAGTTTCTGTTTCAAATACATACATATCTCAAAAACGTGCATATACATGTATACTTATTTATACATACATACATATACATATATATTTGTGGAAGATCTCTGAATGAATTTTCTGGAAGTCCGCAAGTTAGTGAAGTTCGAACGATTCGCAACTCTTTCGCCATCAAATAAGCATAATTTCTTAACTATAATGGTTGTATAGTTGTTAATATAGATACTTATGTATGTATGTATTGATTATAGTTCTTTGTTATACTAATTTTTAACTTTTAATCACATGCACAAACATAATATTAATATTTGAAAAATGGTCCGGTTTGATGTTTTGATTACCGTAATAAAATTGTCTGTATAATGCTAATATGCAAATACATAAAAATTTATGATTTATATTATTTATATAGCCTGACAATAATTCTAATAGTTGCTGCTGTACAAACACATAAACATTAATTTCACTGAACTTACATACATACACATATGTATATATATATACATTCATGCGTACCTATATTAGTGTATCAGTTCAATTAAAAACCGCATGTGCAAACTTAAACTCACAATGTATTTGAACGACACAATTTAATTGGCATCAATAAAGTGAAAATTTAGTTAAAATTTGTACATACTGAAAGAAATATTTTTGCTAAAATTGTTATCATGTTACCCTGAACAGGGTATAATTAGTTTGCCTTGATGTTTGTAACACCTAGAAGGAAATGTCGGAGACGCTATAGAATATACATATGTTTATATAAATGATCAGCATGGCAATCTGTGATATATAATTAGTACCTCAGTTCTTGAGATATCGATCTTAAATTTTTCACACGCCCTTTTCTCCCCAAAAAACCGCTCATTTGTTGTCATCACCGATTATGTACTGCTAAGAGAACGCCTATCTCTGCAGGGAGCTTAAAACTCTCCGCTGCCAAATTTAAGGCCATCCTATTTACAAACTGGACGAAATAGTATAATCTGGATCTTAACATTTCCGTCGATTACCTAAAATTTTTGGTATTACATTCGACAGTGCAGACTCTCCTTCCGCAAACAACCACGATTGTTACAAAAGTACAGAGCCGCAATAAAACACCATCCACAGCAGCACAAGAGCTCGAGTTGCCGCGTGAAAGCAGAGTCAAAGCAGAGCGACCCTTGCGCAATTTTGTTCTAGGTATTATAGCAGGTTAAATTCTTACTTATCCTGAATGGACCCTGACATACAAAACACTTACACCAGACACTAAATAAATCTTTGCATGCAAAACGAAACCAATTCACTTACGAATAACTCCACTCTCTCTATGTTCCGAACCCGTCGAAACAGCTGGTTTCCTGGACCTACCATTGAATGATTACGATGAGAGTTTACTTATTGCTTTCTACCAAGCATGGTCTGGATAATCGTTGCAACAACAACAACAACTACTATGGGATATAGCTGCCATATAAACTGATCGTTCAAAGTCCAGTTTTTGTATAGAAACCTTTTTTAGTTATCTTACAAAATTTGGCATAGATTATTTCCCAAGTCATGCCTTGGAAATTGTTGGAATATGCAAGCAATATTTCTTGAGTATTATGTTGGTTTTCAAAGAGTTAACACTTACTTTTTCTTTAAAGAAAACTATTTAAGCTCTAGAGAACCTCTGACTTCATCTTATTTTGAATTGTTGTCAAATATTCATCAGTACGATATCTGTATGAAATCGTTTTGGTGTAAATTTTAAATAAATTGCTAAGCCTGTAAAATTTTGCAAGTTTTATAGAAAATATTTTTTTTTTTACAATTTCCAATTAATAAAATATGAATAAGCATGATTTCAATTCAAGAACATTTTGTTTTAATGAACAAGCTTTGTAACTATAAAAAACACCGTTAACATTTGTATTGTGTACATCGCCTTGAAGCAAAATGTAATAAAATATCTACTAAATGTACCGACTCGACTTGACAAGCTTTTGTGCATTACCAAGAATATATGTATGTATGTACGTCTATTATGACATTTTTATGTTTCTTTTCAGCAAAACACATAAAAGTATTTACCGTGGCGACAGAACGCACTGATGGATACTTGCGGTACTTGCGTTCAGCAAAGCGTGTCTATGACATTGAGGTGAGTGAAGTCCACTATATATGTACATATATTGCAAGTATATAGATATATATCTTCTGAATTATGAAATGTGAATGAAAAAATAATACTAAAAAAATGGAAAAAAATATTAAAAAGAAATAAACTAAAAATTATTAAAAAAATAAATTTAAAAAGTATTTAAAAAAAATTTAATTTAAAAATTATTAAAAAAATAAATTTAAAAATTATTAAAAAAATAAATTTAAAAAATTATTTGAAAAAATAAATTTAAATATTATGAAAAAAAATAATAATAATTTAAAAATTATTCATAGCAAAATTCATAAAAATACAAATTAGTTAAATAAATTTCTTTAAAAATTAATTTTAAATATATATTGTTTAAAAAATATATAAATATATGAAATATGAGCTTGAAACATGGCATCGAAAGTGTTTAAAATATAGTTAACAGGTTAACGCTAAAACTAAAACAACAACGTTCATTCGCACACGTTCCCGCATTGCATAAATATAAGCCTGTTTCGGTCTACTCTATTCTATTATTATTCATACATTTAACGTCTTAAATTAATGGCTACTATAGTTTATCTGACAGCAAACATCGGTAACGATGGTTATCTCCGTTCTATTATCAAAACATTGCGAATTCGAAAAAATATATATTGTATTGAAAAGAGAAAAAATATATGTAGATATATGTACCTATATAAAGGTATGGATATACATACAGGTTGGTTGAAAAGTTGCTGTTTTCACTAGCACCAATTTTTTTTTCCTCAAGTTGTTACATCTGTCGTGTGAACACATGCAAAGTTACAAGCCATTCTGTCAATTAATTCTTTGTTTACAAGCCATTCGAAGTTGACGTGTCAGAGTATTTTTTTAATATGGAAAAAATTTAATATCGCGCAGTGCTTAGATTTTTTGTTTTGAAAGGTTCAAAAGCAAAGGAAATTTATGAACAATTGTTAAAAGTGTATGAGGAGTCCTCAACTTCAAAACGCACCGTTGAATTTTGTGCTGGTGAATTTAAATGTAGTCGTACTAGGCTTGAAAACGATCCACGCCAAGGACGACCAAAAATCGCAACCACACCAGAAATCAGTGAGCAAGTTCATAATATTGTTAGTAAAGATCCAAGTTAGACTAAGCACGAAATTGCTAATACTATGGGCATCTCAGACGAACGAGTACTTCATATTTTACATGGAGAATTACATAT